TGTTCTCATGGCACCTGTGACGTAGATGTTTCGTTGTATTTATCAGATTCTTTGTTGTATTTATCAAAACTATGGTATTCACTTTTATTGATAAATATAACGAAGAAGAAATATTTTTTAAAAAGTGGATTAATAGCAATTACAACGGGTACATTTTTTTAATGAATATCTACAATCTAATTATCTTTTTTTTTCGGAGTGGGTGTGGCTTTTTGGTCTGACTTTTGTCTTTTTGAGCCTGAGAAGGATAACTGATTCCCGAAGCATGTTGCCCCATTTAAAAAAAAAATGAAATAAACATTTCAAAAGAATGTGAGGTTTTGAGTCCCCTACCCCTTGTTAGAGGTTTTGCGATAGATGGATACATTATTTTTAATAAACGAGTTCTCTTTAAGCCGCTGTACTACCGTTAGTTAACGACATATTAATGCTTGAGCGTATATGATTACACCTTAGAGGGTTACACTTAACTAATATTTAGGCAGATGTGCCGTAGCCGAGCAGTGCTCTTTTCGAGTGGCCCTTTTTTCTCCGCTGTGCAGTGATATACCCCATCGGCCCGCCCTAAAAATTAGTTACACAATGACAACCGCAGCGCGTGACCCCCTCCGAATTCAATCTAATAGGTAAATAAAAAACACTCAGCGGAAAGCACTTGCAATTTGTCATCTAATCCTCTCTCTTCACGCTACGGTGTTTGACAAGTAATTTAATCGAGCTTTGCGCACTTCAGTCTCTTACAGTAAAAAAGAATATCCAGTGGCGTGGGTAGAGTAATGTTAATAAACCTATAAAAGTTCATTACATGCATAAATTAAAATGGATTTGGGAAAAAAAAATTGTGAAATAAAACTGTTATATTGGACTTTCTCATTACCCTTATCAACTAATTTAAACAATATTTCAGATAATTATATCACTCTCTGCTAAGCTGCCAAACTGCTAAACTGCAGGCAAAACTGTTATTTTTAACAGTTGAATTCAGGAGTCGAGACAGGGGGACGGGGACACAAAGCTTGATTTATTCAGTTATTTTCGGTCACTTCCGGTTTCATCGGAAATTACTACAACTTACTACAACTTTTGATTTTTAAATGACACCCACGGTTTTTTTTTATTTTATTCGGTAGAAAATTACAAATATGACATTCTCATTCTATTCAGAGGAATAGAATGAGAATGTCATATCATATGTCAATTTTTGGCATTTTCGCATACGGTTTATTTGAAATTGTAACATGCGGTTTATAACGACAATTTGACTCGAAATACCAAGCGTGTGGTACCAAATTATTCGTAAAAATGCTTTTTTCAAATATGCTAATGAGCCACCCTCATTCCATTGGAGAAAATTGAGATATGATTAAAAATACGATTTCAGCTGCAATTTTTGTGGTCCATCTGTTGTCCGTCCTTCTTGTCAGGTGTCCTGCCCATTTCCACTTGAAATGTTTGATTCTGTGGATGACATACATCTATTAGCCACAATCTTTGCCACAATGTATACCTAGCTTATTAGAATCAAGTTTACATACAAATTTAGCTACTAACTCACGAATGTACTTGTGTCCAACATTTCTTTCACGATGACTTTCGTTGAATGTGGCCGCCGTTCTTGCAAAGCAGCGATTTTCAGCTCCGTAAATGAAAATCATTTCTACGCGTTCAGCAATAGTGTAAACCATTTTAATTTTGTAACCAACGCAATTTAAAGAAAGTATTGTTATTCCTATATTCAAAGATGGAAATAAAATGGAAATGAGTAATTAACGCCCTATCTCATTACTAAATGGTCTGTCTAAAATTTTTGAAAAAAGCATTAACAAGAGACTGACATCTTTTTTAAACGAATATAAAATTATATCAAATTGTCAGTTTGGTTTTCAAAAGGGAATTAGCACTGAACAACCACTTCAGATTCTAATAGAAAACATACTGAGTAATTTTAATAGTAACAAAAAAACCATTGGTATTTTCCTTGATTTACAAAAAGCATTTAATACTGTGAATCACAGCAGATTACTGGAAAAACTTAACAATATAGGTATTAGAGGTAAAATTTGTTCACTATTTAAAAGTTATTTGACAGAAAGATATCAACAGGTACACATAAACGGGATACTCAGCAACACCAAAATTATAAAAACTGGGATAACTATACTGGGACCTACCCTATTTCTTATATTTATCAATGATTTATTAAACTATAATGAATGTAAAATTATTTCTTATGCGGATGATACGATTTTGCTTTGTGAAGATTTTTCATGGGAAAGGACGTGGAACAAAGCTCAAGCCTCACTGCAAGACGTGAAAGAATGGCTGGATGCTAATAGACTGAGTTTAAATGTCTCAAAAACTAAATATATGGCTTTCTCACCGACTGTTGCAGGGCAAAGTAGACAATTGGGTCCCATGTATATTAAAGGTTTTAATGACGGAGTAATCCAAACTAATGTTGTGAAATACCTGGGTGTATTCATCGATCACTGCTTAAAATGGACTTTCCATATAGATTATCTGGCTAAAAGAATCAGAAAGCTTATATACAGATTTTATCAATTGCGCAATGTACTAGCTCAAAAACTACTTCTTATCGTTTATAGCAGCTTAGCCGAATCAATTCTTAGTTACGGCATATCTGTTTGGAGTTCGGCGTATGAAACCACACTAAAAAAGTTACAAGTTTGTCAGAATTTTATCATACGCGTCATATTCAAGATTAAAAATAGAGTAAGTGTAAGAGATATCTATACAACAAATTGTATCCTGAATGTAAGAGGTCTATATATTAAATCTATATTAATATTAATACATTCGAAGAACAATCTGTATCATGCGCACCACTCACACAATACCAGAAGTCAAGCTGCACAGATGACTCCTATAGATCGTGTTAGTAAATCAGTCTGCCAAAAAAGTATATCTTATAATGGAATAAAATTATATAACAGTTTACCTTCGTTATACAGGAGATATTCTAGCCGTATTTTCAAAATGAACATAAATCTTATATAGTTGTCAATTATGTGATAATGCACTCCATGCTGGTCTAGGACAAACCATTATGATCAACCTTTAGAATTATAGCTTGTATACTTTTATTACATATTTATAATGTTTTTTTTTTTTTGAAAAATGATGAAAAATGATGAACCGCATGTTATAATTTCAAATAAACCATATGCGCCAATAAGCATATGATATGTCATTATATTCAGCAAAAAAAAATATGCGCCAAAGTTAACATATGATATGTCATTCTATTCAGAGTGTTATTTTCTATCGAATAAAGTAAAAAAATAACGAGGGTGCCATTTAAAAATTAAAAGTTGTAGTAATTTCCGGTGAAACAAGAAGTGACCGAAAACAATTGAATACGTCAGTCAATCCTAATTTATGTCATATACTAATATACCAAATCTCGTTTTTTTTAACTAAAAAAGTAAAAAAGTTATAGGGGTGAGCCACTTTTGAGACGCACCCGTATTAAGATATAAAATCTAACAATAATAAAAAAAAATATTTTTTTAATTCTTTTGAATATATTTATAATATTATATATTAATAATTAAGAAATTTAATAGTGTTTTAGACAATTATATGAGATCGGATATCTCGGGAGTAGAATGTAGAACGTAAAATTAGTGGAAGTGGGGGACAATCACCGCGAACTCGAAGATCCATTGTGTCCCACTTTCTTGAGTTACAACTCATCATACATGGTTATCTTCCTGTTGTAGGAGGGGCAGAGCATTTCCCATCCTCCTCTGACAACAGATGTTCATCCTCCGAGAAGTGGACATCTACCTCATACTAGGGTATACACCCTTTCACAGTTGGGGCTTATCCCTCCGTGTCCTTAACAGTGGAGGAGCTTGTCTCTGGCTGAGATACCCTTAAGGTGGAGGCTGAATGATCTGTCTCTATTTTCTTCACATCTTTAACTTGGTTTCTCCTTACACCTGATACCGGTGTTGTCCCGGATCTATAATAGAAGATCTCTTTCTCTATAGCCTTCCTGGATTTGAGGTCAATTCCTATTGTGAGGACCTTACCATGGCTCTCCTTCCTCGAATTGATGACTCGACATATGATGTCCTCATATTGGAGTTCTAGTATAAAGCTAGTAATACACCGCAAAGGTTAGTCGGTCCACTTCTACAGAGGCCCGCATGTAGAAGTAAGGAAGACGAGAATACAATGGGTTGCCCTCTGGTGGCCCAAGGTTAAGACCAGTAGAGACTAGTTTTCTATCTAGCCACGCATTCCTTTGACCTGGTCCCGCCATCGTAGGATATAGGTTTTTGGCAAGATTTTCTACTCCGGGCAGTTAAGCCAAGACTCCCCCCTCCTCCGCCCGTGATACATGAGACAAACAGTAGATTCCCTGGCAACGACACTATAGCCAGGGACAAGACAGTGAGATGCCAAATGGTATTTCCCTAGCACCCTGACTAGAAGCTTCCCTGCCAAGAACAAAGTCTTGCATCTCCTAGAGGAAGATCTCGTGAGTAAGAGTCGATTTAGATATTCGCAAATTCGGTAGGCCATTGACAATCCTATGGCCGAGGACTGGGGTTAAAATTCCGCGTAAACAGAATATACCCCGTCCAAATTAACCTTATACCAAAAAGAAGATGTTAACTTAAACTAATTTACTTATAATTACCTCGCGGGTAGATCGCGGATTTTCGCCTATTTTAGGTCGTAAGCAAAATCAATTAACAAGCGGATTGTGTAAACCCCTGTACAGTAGATAAATCTGTCATTAAACACCACTAAATTGTAATAGACATAAAGAAAAAAATAATTTATGGGTCTAATAAAAACTGATAAAACTCCCAAAAATAACGTTCCAAACAGATTACCCAAGGTAATATATTGTTATTACAGAAATGTAATTATTTACGAATGACTAGCGAATTGTTTTAGTCATAAACAAAATACCTAGAATACAGTACGTCCGATATTAAAAAGATAACACCCAACATGCAAAGATCGATTTCAGACTTCGTAGCGAGAGAAGGCGTGGCTTATACAACCCTCGTCGAAAGCTCCGGCAAATCCGGCGAAAAGCTCCGCTCCGGGGACGCACGCTATTATTTTGGGGGTGTACTCCATCCATAGAGATCTTGTTCAGTTGTTCCAGAACGTCGACACGTGCCATACAAAAAAGCACCGCGCTCGGCACGTGTTTCAAATTATCACAAACAATAAATCGTGATTGTTATACTAAACGGTGGTTCTTTTCGGTATAAATCCGTTGAAGATGTTCAATATGGATCATTTGGACTTGGATGCCGTTAATCGGCAGTTCTTTTTTGACGCGAATCCCTACATATCGAGCAACGGAAACAGTAATAGTTCGACGGGGTCGTCGAATAGCGGTGATTTGTTCTTGTACGATGAAAATAGTAGTGATTCTGCTTTTTCCAATTATTCGTTTAATAGTGATCAAGAAAACAATGGAACAGATGGAAAAGAGTAAGTTGTTTTACATGTTTTAGATTACTCTTTTGGGAATAATTAATCGTAAAAACCAAGTAATCGCAAAACATTTTTTATTTACAACCACATATGTAATACTGGCATTACTGACTTTTAAAAAATTTGAAAGTGTCAAATTATCTACATTTCTTCCTCCTTCCATTTCCCTCACTCAGTTTTTCTTATTTCTCACCTCATTTAATTAAGCAAAATATTCTTGTAATATCTTTATTAAATACTTATCTAACATCAACAAAAATAAACGAGAAGATTAACAATAATTAATTTTACTTTATAGAGCAAATGATTTAACAGATATTTTATGATATATAAAAATAAGTTTTATAATATGCCGAAGCATATTTTTAAACAGTCGAAGCAAAGAGCTTGTAGTTTTCCTGATAAACTATTAAGACGTGACAATAAAGGTCCTTTATTACCCTTGACTGCAGTCAGAAAAGTAAGTTTGATTGGTAAGCACATTATACCACTTTCAAAGTTAATTCTACGTTAGTTTTTATAAATTCTGTGATTATTAGTTTGCGCATTAATGGCACTCTCTTACTTGTTAATACCACTTGTGGTGTTGTAAGATGTACATCAATAAATAAACAAATAGCCCATAATAATGTCTCCATAGAATAATCTTCATAATGAACTAGTTATTGCCAATATGTTATAAGTAAAATAAGCTATAAAACAAATAAATCAATTTTACTTACTAAAATATTACTTTTTAAATTAAAATCCGGACGTCGATAAATAAATTATGAATTTACTTAGGAATGTGTCAAATTTGGAATAACGAGAGAATACCTGACAGTAATTACATAGTTAATAATTATTGTGTGTTATTTTAATTCACAGTACAGCTAAATTGTATTTTCCGTCACTGTTGTAGTCTGACGATATTTTCCTCTGATTCCTTGGACAGACAGACAGACTTTACTTAAAATGGAAAATTAAAGGCTTCAACTGCCTTTAATAGTATATGTATTATACTCTCATTATTATAAAAGAGTATTGCACAGGGTGTTTTAAAGTTAGTATAAAAAAACCCTCGATTAACCCTGCATAATATGCCAATACTAAAGTTTATAAAAAGGCTTCAACTTCCTCTAATAGTATATGTATTATATTCTTATTATTATAAAAGAGTATACTCTTTTGACTTTATAAGCAAATACTCAAGCGTGTACTGCATACGTTACATACTTATGCCATCAGAACTGGATAACTCTTTTTTTTAATAGAAGAGAAAACTTTAGGCATTTCATTAGTTACTACACACACTATATACACACATTAAGTTCTTAATGTTATTGTTAAAATTAATTATTGCACCCAATTTTTTATCAATTTATTCGTTGCATATACAGGGTGTCCCAGAAATAAGTGCAAGTATTTTAACTGGTAGTATAGTTCAACCCCAGAAACACGCTATGAGGTTTTTTTCGCGAAAAAAAAATTGAAAATTCGGATTTTTTTGAAAAAAAAAATTGGAATTTTTTTTAGTTCTTAGTTAAAAAACATAATTTCTTGATAATATGGCAACTTAGGTAGTAGATTAAATTTACAAGAAAGAGAATCCAGAAAAGATCCAGTGGTTCTCAAAATTTTAGCAAAAAATATTTTTTTTGGAGATTTTCAAAGTAAAATAACTCTTACTTGAAAAACTATAAAGAGAAAATATGTTTTTTATCGAGATCTACCACCCCTTAAAATACTTGCACTTATTTCTGGGACACCCTGTATAATTGAGATGAGCTACAGTTGTTTGTCTAGCGAACCAGGAATGATTTCGACAGATAACATTCAAAAATTATTACAGAAAATACAATAACTAATTTGTGAATTAAAATTGATTGGCGCAACTGTCACTGTAATGGATCGTTGGACAGACTTATATCTATAAATCTCACGTAACTTTAACAAAATAAAGACAAATGAACTCATAATTCACATCCACGATTGCACCAAAAACGAAAAAATTGAGCAGATTACTACATAAGTACATACTCGCAGATACGAGTGTGTACCTTCGAACAATGTCGGATTAGTATACGAAACCTACATAGGTGGCATCGTAATGATTAAAATATACTAAGTGACATTGAAAATAGAACACCCACTAAATATTATTTAATTTTAATGAATGTTTGTAAGCATGTTTATTATTGTATGGATAAGAAATGATTATAATTTGAACGCCGTCAACACACTAGTTTTTGTGCTATACATGTTTTTGTTAAAATTCCAGTCATCCAATATAGACCCGGCTTTCGCACAGTTTGTTACTTATAATACAGAGTAGTTTCAGGTGTTTTTCTGAGTTTATTATAATGCCTAGAATACGTACGACGACGTGCCAATTTTAGACAACTTAGTGATTTTGATGGGGGTCGGATTGTAGGTTTGCGGGAGGCAGGATTATCATTTCGAGAAATTGTTGATAGGGTCCATAGAAGTGTTTGCACTGTTGCCAATTGTTGTAGAGCTTACTTTCAACAACACCGTGAACATCGTGCCAGAGGTACAGGGCGTCTAAGATTAACCACTGAGGGTCAAGATCAAATCAAATCATTTATTGCATGTTAATAGATACAAGTATCCTTACACAAAGTCATATTTTGTAAAATGCAAAATTATAAAATAAGCACAATAATTATCAAACAGTAATTTAAAAAGTACACAAAAAAACAATAAATACACAATGTAAATGTTTTGACCTATAACCACGCTATAACCCTTCACTGCTTTCTAAAAAATCAGTAACACTAGAATAAGTCATATCAAGAAGGTAGCTTTTAATTGTCGTTTTAAATTGATGTCTTGGTAAATTTCTGACATTTTGAGATAATTTATTAAAGCATGCAGGAGCATAATGAAGGCTGGAGTTCCAAGATCTTCCGAGGCGCAAACGAACAGGCTTTATATTCATTCTGTTTCTGGTTGCATAATTGTGTTGTTCATCATGCGTAGTATATCGTTCTAGGTTATCCTTCACAAATAAAAGACACTGGAGGATATAGCAACATGGAAGTGTCAGTATTCCCAGTCTTCTGTAGGCGTTTTTTGTATCTGCTTGATAACTTAAATTTGACAAAATTCTCAATGCTTTTCTTTGCCGTCCAAACAGTCTGTCAGCATGAGCTGAGTGACCCCAAACAAGTATTCCATAAGTAAGCACTGAGTGAATTAGAGCATGATAGGCAGCTACTAACACATCACTCTCCACACACTTAGCCAATCGCCGAAATGCATACATGCTTATGGAAACCTTCCCTGCCACATAGTCTACGTGACTTTCAAAACTCAGTTTTGTGTCAAATTTTATTCCCAGAAATCGGACACTGCAGAAATCTACTTTTTATTTTGTTTTAAGAGAAAAAATAACTCTTTCTGTTTTAGTGTCATTCAGGCATAATCGGTTTGCCTGAAACCAGTCACCAACATTTAGCAAAATCGATTCAAAATTAGTTTGAATTTCTTCAGGGGATTTCCGGGCACATAAGATAGTAGTGTCATCGGCAAACAAAATCAAATTATTCTGAAGTGTAGCCACGGGTAAATCATTAATGTAAATTAAAAACAATAAAGGTCCTAATACTGAGCCTTGGGGGATCGCCGTTTAAGGCAATTAGCTGTCAGAGACCGTTCGGCCACTTCCTGAGCAATTGCTAACCAATGGTTTACGGAACAAGGTAGACTCATCACGATGCGAACTGTTTACCGACGAATACGTTCTTTTGGGCTGTTTTCTTTTCGGCCTCATTGAGTTTTACCATTGACCCCTGAACATCGACGACAACGTCTAGAATGGTGCAGAGCCCGACAAGAATGGGACGCAGATTGGAATTCTCTCGTTTTTAGTGATGAGTCGCGATTTTGTTTGGGAATGCACGACAATCGGGCGCGAGTGAGAAGATACCGTGGAGAAAGGCGGAATCCACAGTTTTTCATGGAGAGGCACGTAAACCAAGTTGTAGGAGTTATGGTTTGGGGAGCAATCGCATATGGTAGCAGGTCACCTCTAGTATTTGTTCGAGGTAATATGACAGCCCAACGCTATGTTGAGGAAATTGTGGAAGCTCATCTCTTACCATACTTACAAACGCTCCACGATCCTATATTTCAACAAGATAATGCCCGTCCCCATGTTGCTAGATTAAAGGTGCATTCAGTCTGAAAGCGTCGAGCGTTGCGTCGCGTCCGCCCCATTGAACTCGAACCCCGACGCTCAGTGGACGATAGCGCAACGCCAAACGCGACGCTGTCTGCCTGAACGGTCTAATTTAAGTTAAGGGAATTGATTCCATTTCGACACGCGGACGCGACGCAAATGTACCTTAACTGTAAACCCGTATAATGTACCTTAACTGTAAACCACTTACATAATGCCCAAGTTAATCTTCTACCCTGACCACCAAGATCTCCAGGTCTCTCACCAATTGAACATGTATGGGAGTATGGGATATCATGGGTAGGAGACTGACAAACTTACCGCATCCTCCTCAGACACTAGAAGCTCTTCGGCATGAGATACAGTTAGCATGGGATGAAATACCGCAAGAAGACATAAATCATCTGATTAGTTCCATACCCAGACGGCTCAACGAATGTATAGAACATCGAGGTGGTCCAACACATTATTAACAAGGACAAGGTAACGAGCCAATATTTTCACTCCAAATTTTGATCGTTTACGCCTTTTGTCAACCTACATTCATGTACAAAATATTATTAAAATTAAACAATTTCTAGTGGGTGTTCGGTTTGGGTTGGTTTGGTATTTTCAATGTCACTTAGTACATTTAACAAAGTTACGTTGTTTTTACGTTTAGATTCCTCGGACGGTTTTTTCAAATTTTAGCTGGATCAGTCCTGGTCGGGCACCTTAAAATCCCCAACACGTCCGGATAAATCTAGACGTATTGAAACCCTATGGAATATGGTAGTAATACCATAACATCGACACGTGCCGTATAAAAAAGCAC